GAACCAGGAAACCGTCGATGAGTCGACTCATAAACATGCATGAGTCGACTCATGCCAAGTGAGTCGACTCATGATGAGGTGAGTCGACTCGTCAGAAACTTTTGACAAAACAGCTGGGTTTCATGAGTCGACTCATTACAGTCATGAGTCGACTCAATCTGATGAGTCGACTCATGTACATGTATGAGTCGACTCACAGGCTAAAAACTGGATGCTTCGATTCTTCGATTCGCCGTCTCGTTCCACGCTTTAACCTGCATTCCATTGTATTGTTTTACACCTCTATTCTCAAGTTACCATGAGAATCATCTATCCTCAAGCTCCCATGAGGATCGCTAAGTTCCGAAGAGAAGATACACCCGTATCATAAGTATTCAAGTTAGAACTTCAGCTGAGGAAACTCACGAGCTTCTCCATCCTTTCTGTACTACCTGGCTTTGCTAGGAACCTGATATCGACGTACAACTGGAAACGACTCCTTCGTTCCTCGCCTCATCGTAGTCGTCTTCCGCTCCAACATGCAACTCCTTTTCGATGGCTCGTCATGAAGCCTAATGCACAACAAGATGAACTTCTTGCTTGCATTTACTAGCCTCTCCGCTCGCATCACCGTTGCCAAGTTTGTCTCCCTCGGAAGAGACGCCGAACGAAATATGAACTTTTCACCCTCCTTGGTGAATGTGTACTTCTGAGCCCACCTTTCGTAGATTGCGTATCTATCCTATAAGTACGGATTGCCCAGTATAACCTGACAAACATCTAATGGAACGACGTCGCACGTGACCTCGTCAATATACGACTCGTGGAGCGCAAATCTGACAGTGCATTGATCAACTACACTTAGTCCCGTCTCCTTCTGAATCCACCCCAATGGATAGGGTTTCGGATGCTTGACTATCTTCAGACCCAGCTTCTGAACCAAGGCCTCGGATATCAAATTCTTTTCGCTGCCTGGATCAACAATGGCATCAACCATACTGGTCTTCACTTGCAACTTCAGCACAAAGAGCTGCTCTCTGGGATCTTCGTCTTCTTTCGTGGTCTGCTTCCCCGCCATAAGATTGAGATTGCTATTAGGCTCTGTCATCCCGGGAACTTTCTTCGAACCCTGTGTTATCACGTATGTCTTTTTCTCCTCTTTCTTCTTCAACCCCCTTGGCTTGAGATGAGGATACTTCTCCCAACATCGATCAGCGATATGTCATGTCTTCTCGCAGTGACGACAAATCAGTTCTGCTCTCCCTAGATCACCTTTCTTTTCCTCCTTATGTTTGGAACCACTAGACTCCTCTCCCGTCTGTTTTGCATCTCCTTTTGCCTCGTTTCTCTTCTTTTGCTTGCCTTCGATGGCAATAGCTTTCACGCTTGCCTCTGCAATAGACTCGACCGTGAATAGCTTCATCTCTTTCCGGATGTATTTGTTCAGACCTGCCATGTACTTCATGAAGATGGAGTATTCGTCCGTCGTGACGTTTAGAACCATCGCCTGCTGCTGGAACTCCGTCGTGTACTCTTGAACGCTCTGATTGAATCTTTGACGCAAGCCATACCACTTGTACCAACGCTCCTTAAGGAACCCCACTGGATAGAACTGCTTTCTCAGTAGCTCCTTAAACTTGTTTCACGACACCGCCTTCTTCTCCTACTTGCAGTAGAATTTCCACCACGTCAACGCTTGCCCCGAAAGCTTCAAAGTCGTGAACACAATCTTCTCCTTGGATGAATATCTATAGAGAGTGAAATACATCTCCATACGCTCGATCCAATCATCAAGCCTCTCGATGTTGACACTCCCATCATAAACAGGAATCTCTATCTTGAAGTCTATCTTCAAATTCTAGCAAGAACCCTTACCCCCTTGATGCGGAACAGTTTTGACAATCTCGGCCTCCCTATCTGAATCAGATTCCTCGCCTTCTCCATCGAACTCCATAAGTTTCTTCTTGCCTTTCAAAGAAGATTCCTGTAAAACCCCGTAAATTTGAATATTTTGTGATAAATAATGATAAATATGTTATATGGTAAAAATAATATATTTTAATGTTTGAATATGATAAGAATTAATTTTAGATCAATTCAATGTATAATTGTGAAAATATGAGTGCAAATGCACAAAACATGCACAAAGGCCAAAAGAGTGAAAATCTGGGAATAATGATCAGTTGAGAGTTTCTATATTTTACATATCGATACAGTCAGAATTTGGAAAAGTGTAAAAGACAAAGGTTGTAGGTCTCTTCAATAGCTTTCTAACAAATTTTAGATCACGTCATTCTAAGATCAGATGAGAAAGTTATAGTCTTTTTACCAAACCCCAGTCTGAGCACGGCCCAGAAACCTGCGCAGTCAACCGCGGCGGTCTACTGTTGGGCAAATCTGTTTCTGCCAGGTTTGTTTCGGGTTGGGTTTTGTTTATAACGAATCCAGTTGTTACCCTATGTATATATACTCGTTTTAAAGCTCTTTTAACCCTCTTTCACGTGAGATTAACACCAGCAACCTTCTTCCTCAAACCCTAACCCTAATTGTGAGTTTGAGGAGAGATCTCGGGGTGCTTATCGAAGAAAAGGTGAGGAATTGTGATGTTTGGCATCGAGATATCATTTGTTGTTCATTTCAGAGGCTTGTTCACGTGCAAAGGCAAGATCACTTGCATCCAAACTCATCCTCATAGTTAAATAACTAGCTTAGAAGTTTAATTTGTGTTTACATGCTTAGATCTTAATCTAATGTGAAAGAGATTAGATTTTTATTGTTAGATCTGAAACAAATGTTAGATCTACATATTTTGTTGTTGTTTATAATAGAAACATGATCATGATCATTAGGGTTCTTCAAAATTTTATTTTTAACTTGTTAATCATGTTCTGATTATGTTTAAACCCTAATTTGACATTTAATTGAGTTTACATATGGATTAAAGATGAGAAAACCCTAGGTTTATGATACCTAAGTGTTAAAAATATGATTTAATGAATGTATATATTTTCTAAGTTGTTTGGCAATCATGCTTATGTTTAATATGTTAAAAGTTCATGCTTTAGATTGAAGAATTTGGTTAATTAGGTTGAAAAAACCCTAATTTATTTAACACAAGAGTTTGATTTATGTTCGAGATAATTTCAGTAAGTGATTATCAAAGTTTAAGTATTGTTGTATGTTTTATACGTGTTTCAGTATGATTTAAACATGTTTGAATCACAAAGTCGGCATGAACACAACACTGTGCAGAAACTTGCATGTTTTTAGAATTTCTGTGTTCGGTCGACCGCGCCTTAGCGGCGGTCGACCGCATACTAGGCAGGAGCCTTGGCAACCCTGAAAACCTGTTGCGATCGACCATCGCATAATTACGGTCGACCGACAACTTCTTTTATGGCATGTGCATGTTTGTTTGGCTTTGTTTTGGTTTTCGAGAGAGTTTCTCGATCTTGTATTGTTATAATACAATGCTTAAGTGTTGTTCAACATCTGAGATTTGTGTAAATGAGGTTACTACGGACACGAGTCTTAGATTTATTCACTGGGGTATGAGAGTGAATAGTATATATGCTTTTACTTGTATCTCTTTATTGCATGATATTAATCGTATGCAGTCCATGCGTTGGACATTTGTCTATTGCGGCCCATGTGTTGGACATTTACCCATTTCAGTCCATGTGTTGGATCTTAATCATATAGTCCATGTGTTGGACATTTACCCATTTTAGTCCATGTGTTGAACCTTAATCATATTGTCCATGTGTTGGACATTTACCCATTACAGTCCATGTGTTGAGCTTTTACCTGTTACAGTCCATTTGTTGGGCTTTTACCTGTTTCAGTCCATGTGTTGTGCATTTATCATATGCAGTCCATGTGTTGGACATTTATCTGAGTTGTTTTTATTTAACATATAGTAGTTGAAGTCCTTGTGTTGGACTATAAACCATTGAAGTCTTCGTGTTGGACTTTAAGCTTTTGTAGTTCATGTATTGAACATAAACCTATTGCCGCAGAACGTTTGAGTAAGAGTATTACAAGAGTATCGCTATTGCACAAGAAGATATAAACATATATGTATTATTAGTTGTAGTTACTCCCATGTTAGATCACCCATGAGTAGGGTACATTTCTTTGATTTGTGGCATACAGGATATGGCCTATGATGATTTTTTTTTGAGTTGGATGATATTCTTTTATTATTGCGCCAACTACTTGAGAAGTAGTTCGAGATTTTGATATTGGTTCTATATGGTTGAGGCTTGGAGTATTTCTTTTGAGTGTTGTTTTTATTCATAGAGTTGGAATTAGTATTTAGGGATCTACAATTTGAGACCTATGATATATATATGAGGGTTTCCTTGTTTGGATTATTTCGCTCGACGTACTACATCTCGTCTTGTAGGTGTCTAAATATTAACTCTATTAGATACGGAGAAAATGATATAGGTAGACTATGCTTAATAGATAAAGCCTCCACTTCATCTAGCAGCCCTTTCCCTGGGGGCGGATGGAGGTGATCTTGATGTAGTGCTTTGACGCTCTTGTTGTTATTCTTTTTGT